TCTCCAACCTTGCAAACTTTTCATTCTGCCAAAATGTAGGCTACGAATTACACGTCAATCTCAAGCAATAGAATTATTTATTTATACTATTCTGTATTTCTCTTTTTAAAATTTGAGATGTTCCGCAGCTAGGTGAACTTCAATTAAATTCTCCTATTCTCCAAGTAGCCAGCCGATCAAGCCAACTTGATACAATCGTTGGAAAGTGCAAGAAGTTTTTTCAAGTTGATATTGGAACAACTCTAAATCGTTGAAAGTTATTCTAAGAGATGGTAACAAGTTTTAGGATCAAATGCATTACTTTAAACATAAGAAAAAGTGAGAATTGAGTCGATTCGCAGGCAAGGCGTGGAGGCGAAGCACCTACACATCATAGATGGTACAAGCGCATAGATCATTTAAAAAAAGACTTTTTTCGAAGTCAGCTATTAGCACAAGCCCGACAGAAGCGATATTGGAAGATCATACGACAGCTTAGCAACTTGCACGATCAATTTTTTGTGTACAAGGCCTTAACAGGAGAGAGAGGGAAGTAAGGCAAAGCCGATTTATCAAATCGATGGAAGCGAGAGTGACGACGATTGAATTAAATACTGTTTGGCTCAGGGTGTTGGACATAATTCTTTTTATGTCGACTGGAAAACAAGCAAGAAAATGATAAATCAGCTACATAGAGTGGTCCTACGAACTAGTGAGATTGGAATGGGTGGTATCACTTCTAAGTATTCTTATCCTTATTAATTTTGAAAAAGGATTCAAGTTTAGAGTAATTTCATAGAAGTAATTGGCCTTAAAATCATCCCAGAAAGTTTGCAAGATGATATGCGGCTACAAAGAATGAAATTAATAGTTATCGTAAGTTACTAAAAATCAGAATTACCAAAACCTGTAAGAGTTATGTATTCAAGCCATTTTCAAGAGGATCCAAACTGCAAAAGGAATCTTTGAGCAAGAGATACCAAAAACAAAAACAAAAGCTATAGTATCAGAGCCCTAGCGCCATAATGCGTAATGCTGAAATATCCTTTCGAATGCGTACGTAACAGT